TGGCGGTTTGCAGTGTCACAAAGGTCTCCTCTGGCTCCACAGTGTCACCCTGGACCTTTGGTTCCATGCAGCCCTGCAGTGTCACAAAGGCCTCTTGGTTTCACGAGGCCCCACAGGATCCCAATGGTCCTCTTGGTTCTGTGGGGACCACAATGGTCTCACTGGTTCCATGAGGCCCCTCAGTGTCACAATCCTTTGTTTATTTCATGGTGCCCCACAGTGTCACAATGGCCCCTTGGTTCCATGGGGCCCTGTGCTGGTGCATTCCCCCCTCCCCTTCTCAGGCCGCCCTGCCAGCTGAGAAATGCTCCTTGGGCCTGGGCCTTGGCCAACAGCCCCTGGGCTCAGCTCCTCTGCAGCTCATCAGAAACACTGTCTGCTCCCAGGCACTGCTGCTGCCCAAGCAGCTCCTGCTTGCTTCAGGAGCAGCCCTGGGAACTGTTCCTGTTCCCTGCGTGGCACAACATCCCTGTTCTCAGCCTTGCAAAGAAAGCTGTTGATGCCAAGTGCGGCCAGGATGAAACATTGCTGTGCCTGAAGCCCCTCTCTTGGGGCCCTACAAACAGCGCTCCAAAAGGAGCCCCTTGCAGCTCTCCTGGGCCAGCCACCTCCCTCGGAGTGGGGCCTCTGTGAGCCAGGAACTCTCCCGTTTGCTGCACTCGGGGCATCCCCGAACAAGGACGGAGCCTGGGCCGATCCCCCCACTCCTCCAGGCTCAGCCCTTGGCCCGCTGGGGAGATGCCAAAGCATCGGCAGGGAGCATTTCCCTGCCCTGCAGGGGAATTTCTCACAGCTGCCTTGCACTGCCTCTTTGTGTCTGTGTGCACACACCAGTGCTGTGCCCTGGCAAATGGGGCAGAAATGCTGCTCTGGGAGGGGCTGGAGTGCCTTGGAGATCTGAATCAGTCAGGCCTGTGAGTGAGAGTAAGTCATGAGGTACAATCTAATGGTGCTCAGTATTGGTTTTTTTTTAAGTTAAGTTCAATATAAGTTAGAAGCTAAGTTGAATATTTTTAAGTGTTATTCCACTGTTAAATCATAAAGTCATAGGTTATAAGTTAGGTTAACTACTGTTAAGTCCTGATCCTTTGCTAAATTGTGACATTTGAGGTATAGATTAAGGTACAGGTAAAGTCCTGTTAAGATTGAGCTCTGTTAAGCTTTTAGGCTGTATTCCTTTAGTCCTTGCCCTCACTGTCCTTTGTCACACACACACACACACACACACACACACAGGGACAGTTCTGGGTTCATTTCTGTTTAGTTGCCTGGATTGTGTTTGGTTTTGTTGTTGCTTTGTTTCCGTGCTGTGCCTGAAGTGTCCAGTCAGGAGCAGAGTGACTCTTGCCAAGGAACTTTGTGCTGCTGGCGCTTAATATTAAATCTGGTTTTTGCTGCTCCCTTGCTGGGGATTTTTTAAGCGCTCTCAAGTCCTCGTTGGTGACAGGGTGAAGGAGCCCTGGCCCAGGTTCTGTCCCTGGGGGACACAGGGATGCTGTCAGGGGGTCCTTGTCCTGTTGTCCCAGGCCCCACAGCACTTGGCAGGTTCCAGAGCCGTTCTGTGATGTCCCAGCTCCTCTGAGATGGCAGAACTCACTCTCTGATGTCACAGAATTCTCTATGACATCACACACTCTCCTCTGTGATGTCACAGAAAACATGGTGTTGTCACACCGCTTCTCTGTGATTTAACAGCCTGCTGTCTGATGTCACAGAGCCACCCTCTGCGATTGCTCTGTGACATCACACCCCACTCTGGGATCTATGACATCACATCCCACTCTGTGATGTCAAATCACCACCATGTGACTTAATAGCCTGTTCTATGATGTCTCACAATCAATCAGTGATGTCACAGTCCACACTGTGACATCAGTCAGCTCTGTGATGTCATAAAGCAACTGTGATGTCACAACCTGCTCTGTGATGTCACAACCCTCTCTGTGATGATGTACATTTAACCTCTTATGTCATAGTAACATGTGTGATGTCACAAACCACTAAGTTCCATCACCCAGCCCACACTGTGAGGTCATACAGCCACACTCTGATGTCACAGCCTGCTCTGTGATGTCACAGAATCCCCTCTATGATGCCGTAGCTGTTCAGTGACCTCACACAACAAACTCTGTCATGTCACAGCCCCCTCTGTGACCTCACACAACCCACTCAGAGCTGTCACACAGCCCCTTTCTGACATCACAGCTGCTCTGGGGCTCCAGGACACAGCCACAGAGGTGCTGCTGGGACACAGCCCCCTCTGGCACATCCCACAGCCCCTGCCAGTGCTGAGCCCCTGGCAGCTCTGTCTGGGCCTGCTCTCTGTGTCCCTGAGCTGCCCTGGCAGGGCCCCAGCCCTGCTGGGCTGTGCTCAGGAGCTGCTCCTGGCCAGAGCTGTCTCTCTGCAGCGCTGCCCTTGCCAGGAGCTGCCTCTGGGCCAGGAGCCCGGCCCAGCTCAGCAGCACAGACACAGCACCAGCACTTTCATCACCCTCTCGGGCCTTTGGGGCTCTTGGCATCACACTCAGTCCCTCAGAGTGTGCTTCAGAAACTCCTCAAGAGCTCCAAGTCAGATGGAAACACTGAAGTTTCTTGTAGTTGAAATGAGAGACACGAGTGAGAAAGCGTCCCCAGGTTCCAGGCAGAGCAGAAGACTGGAGGCCCTGATGGCAGCTGGGGACAAGCAAGGGAAAGGTGTCTGTGGTGCTGAGCAAAGCTGGATGTGTTTCAGGAATGGCAAGGGCCAAGGGCTGAGCCCCAGCCCCTGGCAAGGCAGATGCTGTCCCTCCCTCATTGCTCAGGGCTCTTCCCGGGCCACTGGCATGTGGGGATGTGCAATGCCAAGGGCAGCACCATGGGGCGGCCCCTGCCAGGCTGCTGAGCAGGGACAAGGAGGCAATGAGGCCCCAGGGCTGCCAGGGTCACTTGTCCCCTGCTGGCCTCAGGCCCAGGGCCAGCAGCCATGGCCAAAGGGCTGCACAAGTTGCCTCTGGCAGGGCCTTGCAGCTGCACAGCCCAGGGCCCTCAGCCTCTACCTGCTGCTTATGTGATGAGGCCTCCAAATCCCATCCTGGGAGATTTTTGGGTCCTCTCCAAGGTCTGTGAAGATGGAAACACTGGTCAAAGTTATTTCCTCCCAGATCTTGCAATGACACAACAAGGATCAATATCTTTAAAGTGATCTAGAGTGGATTTGGATTTGTTAGAAGGAGGAAATATTTTACAATGAGAGTGGCACAAAACTGCAACTGCTTTTCCAGAGAAATGGATGCCCCATCCCAGGAATGCTCCAAGAGCAGGAGCTCTGTGCAACCTGACACAGTGAAAGCCCCTCCCCTCCCCAAGGATGGAATTGCTGTTGTGTGGGTTCTCTGATGTGCTGGGTGCCCTCACAACCCTCCTGGCCAGAATGTCTGCTGAGGGCCAGCCAGGCTGCTGCAGTGGCACTGACCTCACAGCCATCACCATTGCAGCCATGTCCCCTGGGCCTGGCTCTCCCCTTTCCTCTGCCCCTGCCTTGTCTCTGCTGCCATGAAGAGTTGTTTCATTATTATCTTGTCCCCAGGTGCTGGGGCCAATTGCTTCCCAGTCAGGCTCCTGGAGCAGCAGTGGCTTTTCAGAGCCCAGCCAGAAATGAGCCCTGAAGCAGCAGCTCTGCAGTGCTGGCCACCAGGCCGGGGTGCCAAGGGAGCCTTCTGGCCATGGCCTGGAAGCAGCTGCTGCTGCCAAGGTGCCTTTGGTGCCTCAGGCTGTCCCTGGCACAGCTCCCAGCACGGCACTCTGCACTTATGCCCGAGCCCTTCCCTGGGTTGGGGCTGGCCTGGGGCTTTTCCTGCAGCAGGATCTGCCCTGGCCATGGCACAGGAAAGGCAGTTCCTGCTGGAGCAGGAGGCTGTGCCTGGAATGAGCTCAAACAACTCCAGCAAAGCCCTGTTTACTTCAAAATTGCTCCCTAGAGCACTGTAGTCTAATAATTGTTATAGCTCCTGTACTCTAGAGTAAATAACTTTTTTATTTACTCTGTGGTGTAAATAAATCCTTCTCTCTAATCATGATCACAATCAATTGATCAGAATCAATAGCTGTATTTATATCAATATCTCTGGTATACCATTGTTAATCGTGTGGGAGAAATTGCATTACGGTTCAGTTCCACCTGTCAAATATTTACACATAAACCTCTGACAAACTCTGGAGCTGGGATTGGATCCAGCTACTCCCAGTCTCCTCTCTTAGAAAGAATTTAAAAGTCGAGGCATCCCAGAGGGGTTTGAGGATCCCTGTTGGCTGTCATTTCTCCACCTCATGACTCAGCAGGAATTTCTCCAATAAAGAAATAAAGCTTTTGCCTGAAGCTCCTACTCTGCCCATGACAGGAAGCCCTGAGAGTGTCTGTGACATCCCGGCTCTTTGGCAGCCTGGGGACTCCTGGGAGGTCTCTGTGTAGCCCCTGGGAGTGCGTGTCACATTCCGGCTCCTGAATAGCCTGGAGACACTTGGAATGTTGCCATGGAGCCCATCTGAGGGCCAGTAACAAATCTGAAATGTAGGCAACCATCACAGCCCCTGTTGCTATGGTCAGTCCCTTGGCAGCTCCATGGAGACCCCATGCCAGGGGTGGTTGCCATGGACACCAGCTCAGACCTGGAGCCAGAGCCCGTTGCCATGGCAACCATTTGCAGTCCCATCCCCAGGCTCATGGGATCCCAGAGCCACAGAATTGGCTGAGTTGGGAGGGAGCCATGGGGATCCTCCAGTCCAACTGCTGGCCCTGCACAGGACACCCCAACAATCCCAGCCTGGGCCTGGCAGCGCTGGCCAAACGCTGCTGGAGCTCAGCCAGCCCTGGAGCTGGGAGCCTTCCCTGGGGAGCCTGTTCAGTGCCCCAGCAGCCTCGCGGGAAAAACCTTTTCCTCACATCCAGCCTAAACCTGCCCGCCTCAGCTCCAGCCGCTCCCTCCACTCCTGTCCCTGGGCACCAGAGGGAAGAGGTTCCCGCAGCCCCCAGCCAGGGACCCGCTCCCAAGGCTGCTGCCATGGCAACCAGGCCTGGCACCAGCTGGGATGCTCGGTTTCCATGGGCTGGGCTTCAGGAATGGCATTCCCCAATTTCCTGCTCCTGCTGAAACCTTGCTGCTGCTCGCTTCCCTCCCGCCTCCCATGGAAAGCACAACAGGCAAAGATCCCAGGCTGGGATAAGAACAATTTATTGAGAACAGCCACGAGATAAGGAACAAACAGACACAGAAACAATTTTGGTAACAGAAAGGATAATACAAACCATTCACAGGGAAAACTAAAATACCACCAACTGACTCTTCCTGGCCACGTATTTCCTCCTGCCAAGAAAGGACACTTTTCTCTGGTGAGAGAGAGGTAGTCCTTTTCCTGCCCCTGGCAATGACCTGAGATGGGATTGAATATAATGGACCATGATCACAGTCTCACATTCTTTGATCCCACATCATGACATTGCCATGGGCAGGAAAAGGTACAGGTGTCTTCCCAGCATGGATCCCAGGGAACACGGATCACCAGGTCTCTTCCCAATGTGGATTCTCCATGGGCGGATGAAGCTGGGGCAGTGCACAAAGCTCTTCCTGTATTTTGAGGCACTTGCAGGGCTTCCCTTACTGGTGCCTCCACTGGTGTCTGCCAAAGTTAGACCTGTCTGAGAAGCTCTTCCCACACTGGGTACACTTGTAAGGCCTCTCCCCAGTGTGGATGTGTTTGTGGGTATTGAGGTTGGATCTGTGGCTGAAGCTCTTCCCACATTCCCCACACCTGTAGGGCCTCTCCCCAGTGTGGATGCGCCGGTGGGTGATGAGGTTGGAGTTTCGCTTGAAGCCCTCCCCACAGTCGGGGCAGCGGAAGGGCCTCTCATCCGTGTGAATTCGCTGGTGCAGGACAAGATTGGAGCTGCTGTGAAACCTCATCCCACACTCAGAACACTCATAGGGCCTCTCCCCAGTGTGGATGCGCTGGTGGATGACAAGTTGGGACTTGAAGCTGAAGCCCTTCCCACATTCCCCACACTCGTAGGCCCATTCCCCAGTGTGAATCATCTGGTGGCGGATCAGGGTTTTCCTCTGGCTGAAGCTCTTCCCACACTCCAAGCACTTGTAGGGCTTCTCCCCATCCTGAGGCTGCTCATGGACCACCAGCTCAGAGCCCTGGCTGGATCTCCGACCGCCTTCCTGGCACAGGGTGGGTCTTTCCTCCTCAGAGCACCCTGGGATGGGTTTGGAGCCCCTCCTCCTGCGGGATCTCTGGGGCTTTTCCTCCCTGTTGGATTCCTGCACTGTGGTACCGCTGAAAACGGCCTCTTCCACGAGGTTCTGCCGTGGGGATTTGTCCTCCCTGGTCTCCATCCTCAGCTCCTTGTCTGGGGGAGGAAGGACAAGGAGAGGATGGGATTTGCCTCCGTGCCAGAGGGAAGGGGAAGGAGATCCCCCCAGTGCGTCCCCGGCAGGACGGCGTCGGCAGCGGGGTTGTCCTGCAGCCGGGGGCCATGCTGGGCTGGGAGATGGAGCAGGAGAGAGGGGGAAAGGGGCACTGACTTCCTCCTCACCTGCCTGGGTGTCCTGGGAGCATCTTCCTCACAGCCTGCTCTCCATCCAGCCAAAGTTTGGGATGGGAAACTCTGGTTCGGGAGAAAACAATGAATGAGCACGTTGAATTTGAAGGTCCCTCTGTCCAAGTCCCTCTCTAGAAGTCCCTGGGTATCTGGGGGGTCTTGGTTTGAAAGGAAAGGTGTTTGCTAGGGAGGGCAGAAACCACCATTGAAATTGATAAAAATGTAAGCAACAACCCTCTCCAAATTATTATAATCTTGATATCAAAGTGCTCTCAGATAAAGATATAGGAATAGAAATAATAGTTCTTTACTAAAGGAAGAAAAATGAAAATGCAGCAATACAAAAGAAAAAAAACAAAAAAACAGCACTCTGAGAGAGTCAGAATACAACCTGACACCCTGTTGGTCAGGGTACTGAAAGCAGTCTGATTAAATGGTGGCTGCAGTCCTCCTGGAGTGACAGATGTGGTTCTGTTGAAGCAATGATCCTGTAGAATATTTTAGCTTACCTCTGAATTTCCGGTGTTGTTGATGGGTCTGGTCTCTCCTCTGGGAATCCAGTGGACAAAGACTGCCTGTGGTGCTTTGATGCTCTGATTATATCCATGCAGGAATGCTTGGCTCCTCCCCCTGGGTGGAGCATCTCACAATGGGATGATGTCATTTTATCATTCCTGCACTGAGACTCAATGGCCCATTAACAGAAGATATCCCCCTGGAGGAAGGATGGGTGGTGGAAGTGATAAAGAACACTGCCCCACCTGGTTTTAACAGCTGGCCCATTAACAGAAGACATCCCCCCAGTTATGAGGGCTGGGTGATGAAGGAAATAAAGAAAACTGCTTTACCAGGTTTTAACAGATGGTGATAGAATACATACTTTTGGTTACATCTTGCATTGCAACCGAAGATATGGGGTCCTTAAAAACCTCCCAAACACCAAGGTTCAGCCCTGAAAATGTCTCCCAGGAGTTCCCCATCTCTGGTCTCTCCCCTTTGGTGTTCCTGGGTTCCTCCCCATTCCAGCTTCTGGGGTTCGTACTGGGGGTCCCCTGTCTACTCGGTCCCTGATCTCTTCAGGCTGCTGGGAGTGCCAGGAATCTGAAAAGTTTCCCCCCTTTCCATCTCCCCACTTAGGAATGCTGAAAGTTTTGATGATCCTGGGGTCCCTGCTCCCCTTAGTCTCTTCTTGGGGGTGCAGGTGGTCCATGGAGACCCCCCACCCTCTCTCCAGGTTGTTGAGGGTCCCGTGAATTGCGGTGCTCCCCTTCTCTGGGCTCCCCACTTTGGGATCCTGGGGGACACAGGGCTCTGCTCCTCCAGGCTGCCTCTGCCAGCAGCTGCCACTGGGAACCCCAAATGTCCCCCCAAGGGCCATTTTCTGCTCAGCTTTGGAGTTCTTCATTCTCCAATCATCACCCCCAAAAACCCAACCCAGGAACCCCCCAGGATATTTGGCCGAGCTCCCCAACCCTGGTCACCTGTGGGAGGGGGGATGATGATCCCACAGTTGGGGGACAGTGAATTCAGGGAGTGCTGGACTGGGATATACTGGGAGTGACTGAGATCCTACTGGAATAACGAGCACCTGACTGGGATTACTGGGAGTATCTGGAAATGCCTATGGACATGCTGAGGGCAACTGGAATATACTGGGAGAGTCTGTAACCATACTGGGGATGAATGGTAACACACTGGGAACAAATAGAAACCATGCTGGGGACAACTGGGACCTCATGCTGGGGACAACTGGGACCCCATGCTGGGAAAAACTGGGAGGAACTGGGAGTGACTGGGTCTTCACTGGAGGCAGCTGGGAATGACTGGGACCTTGCTGGGAGGGGCTGGGATCATCTGGAGAGGGACTGGGACTCTACTGGGGGCAACTGCGTGCAATTTGGATCACACTGGGAGGAACAGGGAGCAACTGGAGACATGCTGAGGGCAACTGGCATCCTACTGGGATCACAGTGCTAGCAGCTGGGCCATCCTGGGCAAGACTGGGAGCATACTGGCAGCAACTGGCACTGCACTCAGGGTGACTGGTAGTGGCTGGGAGCGATTTGGATCAGGCTGGAAGCACCTGAGGAGTGACTAGGAACAACTGGGATAGACTGGGAGTGACTGAATCCACAGTGGAGGTAAATGGGAGCAACTGGAACCACCCTGGATAATCCTGGGAGCAGCTGTGCCCATGCTGGGGTCATACTGGGATCCTACTGGAACTAGCTGGGATCATAATGGGAGTGATTGGAAAGGTGCTGGCTGTGACTGGAACCATGCTGGAGGTGACTGGGAGCAACTGGGCCCATCCTGGGAGTGACAGGGAGTCACTCTGGCCATGACTGGAATCATACTGGGAGGATCTGGGTGTGACTGGAACCATACTGGGGGTGACTGGGTGCCATAGCTCATACTGGGGGTGACCGAGATTGTAGTGGGAGTGACTGGGATCATCCTGGAAGTGTCTTTCTGTAGATTTTCTGTCTTTCTGTTCTCTATTTCTTCTCCTTCTACTCCTATGTACCTGGAACATTTCTGGATACATAACATCTTAAGGGTTAACACTTTTTAGGTTAAATGAGCTATGTTTGCAAAGTTAATGCTATGGTAAGAGTTTTATGTTCAGTTGGATGTTGTATTAAACCCTTTGCCAAAATTCCTTGATTGTCTGTATTTTACCAGTAAAATTTTGTGTCATTTTGACTTCTTAGCTCAGTTGGTCAGAGCATGGTGCCAGCATCACCTTTGCTGTGGGTTGTGGGTTCAATCTCTGTGTGGGCCATTCATTTAAGAGCTGGACTTGATCCTTGTGGGTCCCTTCCTACCAAGAATATTCTTTACATCTGTCCATGTTGAGAAGATCTGGTTGGTGTTTCTCCTGTGCACCAAACTCAAGCACAGGAACCTTTG